GGGACGCTTATTATAATTGTGCAAGAAAAAAAAACGTAAAAATCTAATAGGGTGGATCGAAAACGGCGGTCAATTGTTTATACCCTTCACCACACTGTGGTACAGGGTATTATGTCGTTGTGCATATGTTTGTAACAGGCAAAAGGAAACGAGAATATGCAAAGAATCACTTTCTAAGTCAATTTATGTATGTCCGTCCATCCGTCTCTCTGTCCATGTTAAATTGTAAACAAAGTACAGGTCGCATTTATGATCCGATTTGGATTAAATTTGGCACAGCTCACTCATTTGGCCCAAGGGCTAAAACTATTGAAATTGGGAAAAATCGGTTAAAATTTAGATATAGCTCATATACATTTTTTCGTCCGATTTAAAGTAAATGGTGCATCAAAGTCCCTATATATCTTTCGATTTGCACGAAATTTGGCATAGTATACTGAATTAGGTCTAGAATGATGTGTGTTAAGTTTCCTGAAAATCGGTTCAGATTTAGATATAGCTCCCATATATATTTTCGTCCGATTTTAGGTAAATAGTGCACCAAAGTCCCTATACATCTTTCGATTTGCACGAAATTTGGCATAGCGTACTGAATTGAGTCTAGAACGATGTGTGTTAAATTTTGTGATAAATCGGTTCAGATTTAGATATAGCTCCCATATATATTTTCGTCCGATTTAATGTAAATGGTGCACCAAAGTCCCTATATATCTTTCGATTTGCACGAAATTTGACATAGCGTACTGAATTGAGACCAGCATGATTTGTGTAAAATTTCTTGAAAATCGGTTCAGAGTTAGATATAGCTCCCATATATATTTTCGACCGATTTTATGTATATGGTGCACCAAAGTCCCTATATATCCTTCGATTTGCTGGAAATTTGGCATAGCGTACTGAATTGAGCCCAGAATGATTTGTGTAAAATTTCTTGAAAATCGGATCAGATTTAGATATAGCTCCCATATATATTTTCGATCGATTTTATGTAAATGGTACACCAAAGACCCTGCATAACTTTCGATTTGCTCGAAATTTGGCATATTGTACTGAATTAAGACCAGAATGATTTGTGTAAAATTTCTTGAAAATCGGTTCAGATTTAGATATAGCTCCCATATATATTTTTGACCGATTTTATGTATATGGTGCACCAAAGTCCCTATATATCCTTCAATTTGCTCGAAATTCGGTCTAGAATGGTGTGTGTTAAATTTCCCGAAAAAGGGTTCAGGTTTAGATATAGCTCCCATATATATTTTCGTCCGATTTAAGGAAAATGGTGCATTAAAGTACCTATGTATCTTTCGATTTTCACGAAATTTGGTATAGTGTACTGAATTTACTTTTTTTTTTGTTTTTGCAAAATAGTCAGGCTGAATCCCAGTTTGTTGTTTTTATAAAAAAAACAACTATTTATTAGTGGGGAATGTATGGCATTTTTTGCCGAGGGGTAAGGCAGGGAAGGCTATAGTTTCGGATCACGCCACTGATCCTCATCAGTTCCCTTAGTTTTTTGATGGGATATTCTCCCCAGAAGCTATTGCTTCTATACAAAAAACCGTTCATACCCAAATGTCTCTTGTAAGAAAGCGAAGTACTTAGCTGACCAACGACATAAACTGCATGAGAATTTCGCTGGAGCCTCACTTCGAGGTTAACAAGGCATTTACAAACAATTCCATACCTTTCCCACTGTTGTGTGTTGTCACATCGCGACAAATGCACACAACGACTATTGGTGTTGCTAGTATACAGCAACAAACCAAACAGTTTAACCGTGCCTGCGTCTACAACTTCAGTAGTGTTGGCGGTTTATTTGGAATACCATTTGTATTTTGTTTTTGCAAAATAGTCAGGCTGAATCCCAGTTTGTTGGTCAATATTTAGTCCAGAATGACATAGTCGACAGATGTTGACAGGATATTCAAAAGGAGTGGTTGACCTATAAATTAATACCAATTGTACTGAAGTGAATGAGATCTAGTCAACGAATATGTATGGATCTTTTGGTGATGATCGGTCAATATTTTTGGTCTACATATTAATTTATACCCTACACAACTATGTTGTCAGGGTATTATAGCTTTGTGCAGCCCCAAAAGTTTGTAACGCCGCGAAATATTGGTCCTAGACCCACCTTTAAGTATACCGATCGTCATATCTCGATTAGCTGAGTCGATCTAGACATGTGTCCGCCCGTCTGTCCATTATAATTTGTAAACACGATACAGGCCACAGTTATGGACCAATCTTCACGAAATTTTGCATGTAGGATGGGTTCTGGCCAATGAAGACCCCTATTGTTTTTGGAAAAGATCGGTTAATATTTAGGGGATGAAATGGACCAAAAACTTTATTTTTGTCTGATTTTCTGGTCGCTCCAGAGGCCGCAATTATGGCCCAAACACCACGAATTTTTGCATGGAGAATGGGATCGGGTCAAAGAATAAGCATGCCTGTTTTGATAAAGATCGGTCAATATTTAGCGGGTCAAATGGACCCTAACTTTTGTGTGAAAAATTAGAGGGGCTGTACTGATTATTAGTAACATTTGCTGATCTCTAGACAGTCAAAAGTGTGCAAAGATCGCGAAATATTACCCAATCTCAGAATATAGAACCACAGAAAGTTAGATTTTCATGGAAGTTGTGTAGGGGATCGTATGGTCCGTCCGACTATACTGCTCCGCTCACTGGTTTTTTATTATACCCTTCACCACACAATGGTACAGGGTATTGTGTCTTTGTGCATATGTTTGTAACAGGCAAAAGGAAACTTTCTAAGTCGATTTATGCATGTATGTATGTTCGAATTGGATGAAATTTGGCACAGCTCGTCTATTTGGCCCAAGGCCGAACCCTATTGAAATTGGGACAAATCTATTCAGATTTAGATATAGCTCCTATATATATATTTTCGTCCGATTTAATGTAAATAGTACACCAAAGTCCCTAAATATCTTTCGCTATGCACGAAATTTGGCACAGCGTATTGAATTGAGTCTTGAATGATGTGTTTTAAGTTTCGTAAAAAATCGGTTCAGATATAGATCCCATATATATTTTCGTCCGATTTTATGTAAATGGTGAAACAAAGTTCCTATATATCTTCCGATTTGCACGAAATCTGGCATGGCGTACTGAATTCATTCTAAAATGATGTGTTAAGAATTTGTTGAAAATCTGTTCAGAATTAGATATAGCTCCTATATATATATATATATATATATTGGTTCACAATAGTTCCTTTCGATTAGCACGAAATTTGGCATATCATACTGAATTCAGTCTAAAATAATGAGTAGTAAGTTTCGGAAAAATCGGTTCAAATTTAGATATAGTTCCCATATATATTTTCGTCCGATTTTATCTAAATGGTGCACCAAACTTCCAATTTTTGTCCTATTGAGAACATTTGGCACTACGTATGGAATTGAGACTAGGATAAAGTGTGTTAAGGGAACCCCCCACCCCTTTTTTTATTTTTATTTTTCAAGATTTTAAATGGGCTGGTAAATCAATACAAATGATTGTTAAGGTTTGTAACCTTCCACATATATATTTGAAGATTTAAAAGAGAAGAAAAATAATTTACAAAAAAAATTGTGTTGTTGTTTATTGTAATTAAAGAAAAGTACTTATTTTTGATGGCGGGCATTATAACTCCTCACTGGAACATCGAAATCCGAAAATTCCAACTGTGTTAGAATGAGTATTTGTTGACCTCTAGTCGGTCAAGGGGGTTCTTGAGCGCGTTTTTCAGCTCAATTCGCTGAAATTTGGTATATTGAGTTCTTAATGGGTAGCAAACCTCTCCACTAAAAATTATAAATATGGGTCCATATTGACCTCCAGGTATTGTCAAGGACAACACTCATAATTTTCGGTGATGATCAGATAGTAGTTTTGGGATAAAGTGGACGAAAAACATATTTTTTGTGTAATTTGGAGTCGCACAATTAATAGCCGAACTTCACAACACAAAGGGTGAAGGGAATCTAGACAAGTAATTAGAAAGGCTGTATTGAATATTAGTAATATTTGTTGACCTCTAGTCCGTCAAGGAGTGCAAATATCGCGAAATATTGCCCAACCTCAGAACATAAAACCACAGAGAGTAAGACTTTCGTGGAAGTTGTGTAGGGTATCATATGGTTGGCCCCGTCCGACTATACTGCTCCGCTCACTGGTTTCATTTTACAAAGAGAAAGATCTTGGTTGACTTGATCCGCCGAATAGTGACAGATCATTACAAAAGCCCTTCAGGTTAGTTGATCAAGTTTCTTTCCCAAAATTACTACATCACCAGCATTGTGTTTGAACATAACAGGAACTTCATGGAAAAACTCTCAGCGATCAGCGCTATATTTCCTCTCTATTGTGTGGTAATGAGTAACTAAATAATATCCGATATATATATATATATATATATAATATACGTAGATAAATATCTGTAAATATTACATCCGAGTAGATAGTTCTCGGGTCTATGTCCTCCAGGAGTAAATATATACGCCATAAAATACAAATTTCGTAAATTTGCACACAAATGTCTAGGTCCATTTGACCCGCTAAATATAGATCGATCTTCATCAAATGTACCATGCTTGACCAGATTCTCGTGTAAAATTTCGTTGGTTTTGGGCCATAATTGTACCCTCTCGAGCTCCATTTCATTCCCTAAATATTAACGGATTATTACCAAAAACAATACGGGATTTCTTTGGTCAGAACCTGCCCTACATGCAACAGTTCGTGACGATCGATCCCTAATTGTGACCCGTGTTGTGTTTACACACATGTCTAGATCGACTCAGTTAGTCGAGATATGATGAGCGGTATACTAAAAGTTGGGTCTAGGAACAATATTTCGCGGGTTTACTAACTCTTGGGGCTGACAACATAGTTGTGTAGGGTATAAACATTCATATACATTTTAGTAATTTCCCACCACCCAATTCTTGTTGCACCGTGTAATTTATGATTTTTATCTTTCAGGAAAGCCTTTCAAAATATTTACTCCCTCCTCCGGCCGGAAGGTGGCAATTGTCTACTAACAGTATTCGCACGTTCTCCATACTATGATGCCTATCAGAAGCTGAGCAAAACAATTCAATGGTCTGCGTATATGACGGATGTTGAAAATTACACTTGTTCGTGGCATTATGCCTACGATCCCGTCGGTGAGGTTAATAAAATTTTAAAAGATTGTGGCTTTCATGATATTGAAGTTCAACTGCGGCCGATAATTTATACTTATGCCAGTATTGAGGATTTTAAAAGTATGTAACAAGATATTTTAAAATTTTTTATATAAAAAATTATTTTTATTATTTCTATATTATAGAAAACATGAAAGCTGTCTCCCACTATACACATCGTATCCCTGTGGAAAGGCAGGAGGAATTTATGAATGATTTTGCCGAAGCCATGATGAAGGCTAAACCTAATTTTAAATATTTCAATGATTGCAATGGTGGATTTAATTTTCCCTTTGAACAGTTGATAATTTTTGCAAGGAAATAAGAAACTTATGAATATATATATATATATATATATATATATTATTTTTAATTATTTAATGAATTAATAACAATTATTTTTATATCATAAAATAATGTCGTAAAACATTTAAGCGATTTGGCTTTATGTAAACAAATCACTGATCTGATCATTCAGACAATTGAATTATTTTTGCAAAGACCACCAACGAAAGCTGCATATATACTTAGTTATATATATATATATATATATAAACTGGTATTTATATATCCTGAAAGTGTACTATTTCCCGATGGACCAATGCTTGTTCCTTACGGTAATTTAATACTAATGATAAAATATGTAGTTCATTTTAGTACTTGTGTACCATTATGGTACGAATTTTCACCCACAATTTAAATTGTACCAAATTTAATACACAGTAGTACGAATTTATAAAACCTCCTTATTACCACAAACCTACATCCCCATAGTGATCCTAAATCCAAGTTTCAGGATTCCAACTATCTCGTTTCACTCACAATTAAAATTGTATCAAATTTAGTACACAGTAGTGCGAATTTCCAAAACTTCCTACATACCCCAATTCTACACTTCCACAGTGATCCTAAAACAAAATTTGAGGATTCCAACTCTATCGGTTTACCCACAATTCAAATTGTACCAAATTTAGTACACAGTAGTACCTATTTCCAAATTTTCCTACATACCCCAATCCTACACCTCCACAGTGTTCATAAATTAAATGTTCAAGATTCCAACCCTTTCGGTTCACCCAAAAAAATCAAATCGTACTAAATTTAGTACATAGTAGTACAAATTTCCAAATCCTCCTACATACCCCAATCCTACTCCTTCACAGTGATCCTAAATCAAAATTTCAGGATTCCAACTCTATCGCTTCACCCATAATTTGAATTGTACCAAATTTAGTACACTTAGTACAAATTTCTAAAACTTCCTACATACCCCAACCCTACACCCCCACAGTGATCCCAAATCCAAGTTTCAGGATTCCAACTCTGTCGGTTCACCCACAATTCAAATTGTACTAAATTTAGTACACTTAGTACAAATTTCTAAAACTTCTTACATATTTCAATCTTACACCTCAACAGTGATCCTGGCTCCAAATTTCATGATTCTAGCTCTATTCGTTCATCTAACATTCAAATTGTACCAAAACCAAAACTTCTCACATATCTCAATCTTACACCTCAACAGTGATCCTGGCTCCAAATTTCATGATTCTAGCTCTATTGGTTCACCTAAAATTCAAATTGTACCAAATTTAGTAACTATAAGTATTATTTTCGTAAACTGAATCCTGACCCCAATCCCACACCCCTACAGTGATCCTGACTCCAAATTTCATTGTTCCCGCTCTATAGGATCACCTAAATCCAAACTGTACCGATTATAGTACGATTTAGTACTTTTCGTACACATAAATAACAAATTTTCAAAACTACGTTCATAGCCCAATCCTACACTCCGACGGTAATTTTAATTTGAAATTCCAGGATTCCAGCTCGATTTGTACCAAATATAGTACCATATAGTACTTTTCGTACACATGAGTACACGCTTTACAAACTCTCCTCATATCGACCTTACCTCTCAACATTAATTTGCATTCCAAATTTAAAGTTTTTAACTCAATCCATTCACATGCTACGAAATTGTACCAAATTTAGTACATTTCAGTACTTTTCCGATACTTATAGTTCGAATTTCCAAATTCTAATCTACACTCCATCAGTGACCCTCAATCCAAATTTCAGATTTCTAGCTCTACTTTTCGTTCCATTTGGACCAAGAGTGACCCTCACCCAAAATTTCAAGATTCTAGCTTTAGCCGTTTCGTCTGGGCGTTGATGAATCGTTAAATCAGTCAGTCAGTCCATCACTTTACACTTTTATTAGCTTAGATTAAATTTGTACCAAATATAGTACCATATAGTACTTTTAGTACACATGAGTACACGCTTACAAAACCATCTCCTTAAATGGAAATGGATATCTGACCATGGATATCTCAACCTTAATTCACACTCCAAATTTCAAGTTTTTAACGCTATCCGTTCGCATGCTACATAATTGTACCAAATTTAGTACATTTTCGTACATTTCGGATAGTTAAAGTTCGAGTTTCCAAAAACCCGTTGGTACATCTATCCTACACTCAGCGACCACCAATCAAAATTTCAGAGTTCTAGCTCTACCGGTTCGCCAAATACAAATGGTATCACATTTAGTACTTTTCGTACCGTTCTAGTACGAATTTCCAAAAACGCTTTTGTACATCTTCCTAACTTTACATCAGTGACCCACATTCCAAATTTCAGAATTCTAGCTCTTCCCGTTCGCCTAATACAAAGGGTACCATATTTGGTGCATTTTAGTACTTTTCGTACCCTTCTAGTTCGAATTTCCAAAAACCCAGCCTTATCTCACGCCTACACACCAACACCAACCCTCACTCAAAATTTCAAGCTTCTAGCTTCAGCCGTTTAGTCTGGGCGATGATCTGTCAGTCACTCACTCACTCACTTAACACTAAGCTCTTTTATATATATAGATAGATATATATATATATATATATAATTGGATATCTAATTGGACTCAAAGAGAATATTAAAATGCTACTCAAATATATCCAAGGGAAAAATAAAATTTCTCAGTTTTCCAGGTGCTAAACTATAGGTATTCAAATAATTACAATGTGTAATTGAATAATTAAAATTTTTTACAACAAAAAAGGTTATGAATTTTATTGTTTTGTGATGATACACGTGCTCACAATATTTATTAGACAGCAGCACTAAGAAAGATGTTAGTGGACCACGTCAGTGATCGGTGGATATCCGACCATCCATTGTGTTAAGTGTTGCGCGTGGAATACGATGAATGGATGTAATGAAGGAGCATTGTAGTCACTATCTCAAAACCAATGTCAAGTTCAAGACTGTTTTGAATAGATTATATCGAAACGGAATATTTACACGAATTGATATTTTATATAAATTCAGTTCAATGTACCCCAACATTTATGTCAATGGTTGGGATAAGAACTGTGAGAAAATGTAAATAAATACAACAACTGTTCTATAAAAAATATTTATGAATGAATTTTTATCAACATAAAAATTATGACACATAAAATTATGGCTCATAAAATTATGATACATAAGTAGAGTTTGAGAATTCCCGACTTTTTTCATTCCGAAACTTAGGAAATCGAAATTTTCCGGATCCCCTGGAAAATGTTTGAAGAGCTTATTCATCGATTAAATACTACGAATTATTAGAATAATTGTCGTTCTATGTAATTGTACAATAACATTTAAAAAACCAGTGCGCGGAGCAGTATAGTCGGACGGGGCAGACCATACGATACCATACATAACTACAACAGAACTCTATCTTCCTGTGGATTTTTATTCCGAGCTTGGGTAATATTTCGTGATAGTTGCACCCTCTTGCCCGATGAGAGGTCAACAGCACCTCTTCCTTACACTGACATATTCTCTTCCTTACACTGGAACATTTCAAAGCGATCCGCGCTATATTTCCGCCCTCTGGTGCGGTAATGGTTTATTAAATAATATCTGAATACGTAAGCTCCTGTAAATATTTACGTGTAACTCCCACATCGGAGTACATACGACAATATAATTTATATCAATTTAAAGGTCAACCACTATATTTGGATATACTATCAACTTCTCGGGTCTATGTCCTTCAGAGGTTAATATATAAGCTATAGAATACTAATTTTGTCATTTTTCACACAAAAGTCAGGGTCCATTTGACCCGCTAAATATTGACCGATCTTTATCAAAACATGCATGCTTATTCTTTGGCTCGATCCCCTTCTCCGTGCAAAAATTCGCGATGTTTGGGCCATAATTGCGGCCTCTGGAGCGACCAGAAAAACCGACAAAAATTAAGTATTTGGTCCATTTCATCCCCTAAATATTAACCGATCTTTACCAAAATGGGGTCTTCATTAGGCAGAACCCATCCTACATGCAAAACTTCGTGAAGATTGGTCCATAACTGTGGCCTGTATCGTGTTTACAAATTATAATGGACAGACGGACGGACAGACACACATGTCTAGATCGACTCTGCTAGTCGAGATATGACGATCGGTATACTTAAAGGTGGGTCTAGGACCAATATTTCGCGGCGTTACAAACTCTTGGGGCTGCATAAAGCTATAATACCCTGACAACATAGTTGTGTAGGGTATAATAAATAATAAAACCAGTAAGTAAAGTTCAAAAGTCGGACGGGGCCGCTTTGGGTACATACAAGAGATGTTCATATCTACAATATCCTATAGATAGAACAGAAATAGAATTTTTAGTTAGATAGTTGAACCAATTGAACACATACCATTCTGAAATCAATGAAAAATTGCATGTCAAACGGGCAGACTTGGATTCTTTGCTGTACCGTTTGTATGAAATCGAGTCAGATTATGTATGGGAGCTATATATAAACACATGGTCCTAACTGAATAACCGTTACATACACCATTTGTTTTTTGTAATCACTATATTCAATTTATTCTGCTAAATTTCGTGTAACCACCATTTACATAATATCGAACGAAAATATATATGAGACCTATATCAAAATCTGAACCGATTTCAACAAACCTTATCACGCTTAATTTTTTTCTCAATAGCATTCGCTACGCAAAATTTTGACTAAATCAGACAATATTGGGAGTTTGGTACATCATTCACATAAAATCGGGCGAAATTATATATGGGAGTTATATCTAAATCTGAACCGAATAAAAAAAACTTCGCAGACATCAATCTGAATATGATTCAGTACTCTGTGCAAAATTTTGTGCCAATCGGACAAATATTGGGAGTTTGGTGCATCATTCACAAAAAATCAGACGAAACTATATATGAGAGCTATATTTAAATCTGAACCGATTTCAACAAAACTTAGCAGACATAAATCTGAATATGATTCAGTACTCTGTGCAAAATTTTGTGGCAATCGGAATTTGGTGCATCATTGACAAAAAAATCGGACGAAACTATATATGGGAGCTATATCTAAATCTGAACCGATTTCAACAAAATTTCGCATACTTTAGTCTGGACCTAATACAGTACTCTGTGCAAAATTTTGTGGCAATCGGACACATATTGGGAATTTGGTGCATCATTGACAAAAAAAATCGGACGAAACTATATATGGGAGCTACATCTAAATCTGAACCGATTTCAACAAAACTTCGCATACATTAGTCTGGACCTAATTCAGTACTCTGTGCAAAATTTTGTGCCAATCGGACAAATATTGGGAGTTTGGTGCATCATTCACATAAAATCGGACGAAACTATATACGGGAGATATATCTAAATCTGCACCGATTTAAAAAAAAAAAACTTCGCAGCCATCAGTCTAGACATAATTCAGAACTCTGTGCAAAATTTTGTCCCAATTGGACAAATATTGGGAGCTTGGTGCATCATTTACTTAAAATCGGACGAAACTATATATGGGAGCTATATTTGAATCTGAACCGATTTTCTCCAATTTCAATAGGGTTCGTCCTTGGTCCAAATAAGTGAACTGTGCCAAATTGCATCCAAATCGGATCATAAATGCGACCTGTACATTGTAAACAAAAATACATGCGTAAATCGGCTCAGAAAGTGATTCTTTGCATATTCTCAAAAGGAACCATGGGTGTATCTCAATTCCTTTTGTCTGTTACAAACATATGCACAAAGACATGATATCCTGTACCACAGTGTGGTGAAGGGTATACAAATTCTGTTTGATGTTGATTCGGCTGAAGGACAATGAAAAAGTTTTGTTCTTGTAAGAGATCCCTGAAGATGATTGTCGATGACAATTGGAAAAATAATAAAAAAAACAAAGTTAAAACATAAACAAAAGTTTTTTCACTGACCTTCCACCGAATCAACATCAAACAGAATTATAAATTTCCAGGTCAACTATAAACAACAACAGCAATAATAAACCAGTGAGCGGAGCAGTATAGTCGGAAGGCGCCGACCATACGATAACCTACACAACTACCAAAGAACTCTAACTTTCTGCGGATGTTTATTTCAAGCTTGGGCAATATTTCGTGATATTTGCACCCTCTTGACCGATTATAGATCAACAGCACCTCCTCCTTACACTGACATATTTTCCGAATATTCCCAGTATTCAGTACAGGCCTTCTAATTACTTGTCCAGATTCCCTTCAGGGTGGGTTGTGTTGTGATATTCGGCTTATAATTGTGCCCAATAGATCGACTCGATTATTATGTGATCGTCACTTACAATTATAGGCACTGTCCTTGACCACAACTGGAACCTCATGGAACATTCAAAGCGATAAACGCTATATTTCCGCCCTACATTGTGGTAATGGGTTACTAAATAATATGTGAATACGTAAGCGCCTGTACATATTTAAGTGTAACTCCCACATCCGAATATATACGACAATATAATTTGTGTCAATTTAAAGGCCAACCAATGCTCTTGGATATACTATCAACGTCTGGGGTCTAGATCCTTCAGGAGTAAATATATATATACACTGTAGAATACAAATTCTGTTATTTTTCACACGCAAGTCAGGGTCCATTTGACCCGCAAAATACTAACCGACCTTTATCAAAACAGGCATGCTTATTCTTTGGCCCGATCCCTTTTTCCATTGAAACTTCGCGGTGTTTGGGTCATAATTGCGGCCTGTAGATCGACCAGAAAAACCGACAAAAATTACGTATTTGGTCCATGTCATTCCCTAAATATTAACCTATCTTTACCAACAACAATAGGGGTCATTCTTTGTGCCGAGCCCATCCAACATGTAAAATTTCGTGAAGACTGATGCACAACTGTGGCCTTTATCGTGTTAACAATTTATAATGGATAGGCGGAGGGACGGACGGACACACATGTCTAGATGGACTCAGCTAGTCGAGATATGACGATCGGTATACATAAATGTGGGTCTAGGACCAATATTTCGCGGCGTTACAAACACTTGGGACTGCACAAAGCTATAATACCCTGACAACATACTTGTGTAGGGTATAAAAATTCAAGCCTTGTTAAAGACACCCGCGTCTGAAAAAAAATCTTTAAAAAATCCACACCTTGTGTAGCCTTTGAAAAAATATTCTTTAAAAAAATCCATGCCATCTAAAGCGTATAAGAAAATATTCTTTAAAAATCTGCGCCTCTTATAGTCCGTGAAAAAATATTCTTTAAAAAATAGACCTTCATAACAGTAATTACTTTTTTATTTGAATGTCATTTTGTTTGAAATGACAAATTTGAAATGTGATCCGAATATTTTTCACAATATGTCAAAATTTATCACTAAGAAAATGTGATCATTTGTCAATCTTCGATGCCATAGGCGTAGTACTTTGTGGGAGATAAAAATTATTGTGTACACACCCCTAAAAATTGGAATGTCCCAAATGCCTCTAACACACATGTATACACAAGCCCCCAACTACGTTCCCAATGATCTTGACAATGAATTTGAAAATGTCACCTATTGACACTCTCTATTGTACGCCACATTCATTTCTCAGATTTGAATACAAATAGAAGATGATTGAGATTTCATTAATGTGGACACTCAGTCTGGCTGGCTGGTATGGAATACTAAATGTCGCCAGTGAGAGTCATATAAAAGAAAGTATCGGGTATTGGATGCCATTTAATATTCTACGGAACGGCAAAGTGCTAACACATTGGCTGACGGACGGACTGACTGGCTAGCTGGAATCCCTCCCCCACAGACACAGGCATACGAAAAGACAAGATAATTATCGTGAAGACATGAATCAGGCCTCCCTGTATCACCGAGCTAATGAGGTGCAACGTCACGATGCCGAACAAATTATCCAAGAATATGTCGATAAATTTGAGTGGCGCCATGACGGTATGGATTGTCTGTTGGATGTGGGTACAGGTTCGGGTGATGTCCTAATGGATTTCGTCTATCCAATAATGCCGAAAAAATTCGATCGCATTGTGGGTTCGGATATTTCACGAAAAATGATCGAATTTGCCCGGAAGTGTTATCGTGATGTGAAGCAATGTGAATTCAAGGTTTTGGATATTGGAACAGAGGAGAAGCTACCCAAAGATATGAAGGGGGCATTTGATCATGTGACATCGTTCTACTGTCTTCATTGGATACAAAATCAAAGGTGGGATACATACACACGAAGCTACAAATTTTCTAAAATAATTATTTACTTCCGAATTCTAGACAAGCTTTACAAAATATCTATGATCTACTGCGTCCTGAGGGTGGTGACTGTCTGCTGGTGTTTTTGGCCTCCAATGCCGTTTATGATGTTTGCAAGCTATTAAGTAAATCCACCAATTGGTCACCCTATATGCAGGATGTAAATCGTTTCATCTCTCCACTACACCATTCGAATGATGCGAAGTGGGAATTTACACAAATGCTGAAGGAGACGGGCTTCACTCAGCTTCATGTGGAGATGAGGGATAAGGTTTACATCTATCAGAACGAAGAGATATTAAAAGGTAAAAATTTGAATTTTTGAAATATTCAAAATAATTTAGTTTCTCAAAAAAAAATTTCCAGATAACTTTAAAGCCATTTGCCCCTTCTTGGAGCGCATACCCTTATCGCAGCACAATGACTTCTTGGATGATTTTGTAGATACTGTTACGAGTCTGGATTTAAGACGCTGCGATCCTAATGGCAAAACCCACAAATTCCTATCACCCTATAAACTAATTGTGGCCTATGCCAAGAAGCCGGCATTAGTGGAAAATCTTCTCAGCGAATTAATTATATCCGCCGAAGAGGAGGAGAAGAAGCAAGAGAATGGTGTAGAAAAGAAAAATATAAAATAGTTTGTTAATTTCGAAAAGAAGAGCACTTTATGCTTGAAATTTTATTTGTTATAATTTGAGGGGTGACTGAGGAATTTGAAAATTACTTCTTAGTAGGAAAAAACTGTAAGTATAATATGGGCCCAAAAGTCGCAGTGGATTTTATAAAAATAGTATTTTATGGGTTATAATTGTCGTGGATTTCTTCAATTACATCTTTTTGAGGACCTAGCCAGCCGTATATTTGTAAAAGAATATTTTTCGGGGATCACTTGGATTTGCATACCTACACAACTATATCCTACCACCTATTAGTATACTGATCGTCATATCTCGACTAGCTGAGTCGATTTGTGTCCATTCGTCTGTCCATTATAATTTGTAAACACGCAAAAATTTTGTTGTAGGTTCGATTTGGGCCAAAGAAGACCCATATCCGTTAATTTTGCTGATCAAATGGACAAAAAACTTTATTATTGTCTGTTTTTTGGTCCTTCTATAGGTCACAACTATGACTCGAACATCACGAAATTTTACAGGGGAGAAAGAATCTCATCAAGGAACAAGCTTGGCTCTTTACGTGGTAATCGGTCAATATTTAGAGGGTACAATTGTCCATGATTTTTGTGTTACCAAATTTGCTTTCTATGGCGTATATGTTTACCCCAGAAGGACATAGATCGGATATGTTCCAAAATGAGTGGTTGACCTTTGAATTAATATCAATTATATTGTTGAAGGACTCGGTTGTGGGTATTCTAATATAATGATGATGGCATGATGATCATGGAAATGATGCCCATAATATCCGGTGATGATTAGATTAATTTGAGGATATGAAATGGACTAAAAACTGGATACCACTATTATAATCCGAAAATCACAAATTTTGTACGGAGATGGAAATTTGGCCAACTAATTAGAGTTGAGTAGTCCCAAAACGAACGAACTAGTTCATTGGCACTATTCCGATTAAGGAACGATTGAAACTAGGCCCAGTTCTTTAGTTCCTATATTTGTTTTTTTCGGATCTCGTTACTTCCACTGATCTCGTTCCTTTATCCCCATATACTTCATTCGTTCTCTTACGTATTTCTAAGTCTAGTTTTTGATTCGGAATTAGATGGAGCAAAGGAACTATATCAAGGAACTAGTTTCTTTTTAAAAAAGGACGCCAATGATCGATCCGCTACGTGAACTAGATTGTCAAACTCTACAACCAATGAGAATAGCTGTTTTCATAATGAATAATGAACCAGAACTTTTGTGTGTAAAATAACAAAATGAGTTAGACATACGTCGTAAAAATTCCGAACATATTTTGAGTTTCTGAAATAGGGTTCCCTAAATCACCTGATGCCTGCCATCTCGCAGCCGAGCTTGTTATTTTGCTTAAAATTTAACTCACAAATTTTTGACTCACATTAGGTATCTTCCTGACAAAAATTATAATTATTGGTCCCCTTTTTTCGGGTAGCCTTTTTGGCATATTTGGGGATTTTGTGCACGGACCTATTAGCCTATTTGGTTGTAATTTGACATTATCAATATTCGAATCCTCTTGGAGGTAGTTCCCCATATTATGTTACGTTTATGTTTAAAAATTTAACCATGAGCAATGGAAAATCAGAAGACGACAGGTATTATAACAGGACATAGCAGCCTGCAGTCCCACCTACACCTAGGGGAGCAACTGGTGTGGAGAAGACAGTCAAACGTTAGAACTTTTTCTGTGCCACTGCCCACCCTTTTCAAGTTTCCGGATATGATAACATTCGTGAAATAACAGATCTAAGAGCGTGTGAATGGAAAAAACTGAAGGACTTCAAACAAAATAGAATTCCTAGAAATTTAGGAAAACCAAATCTAATGATAACTTCGTCTAACATTCTTCCTTCTATAGAGCACACAACGAGCCACTAAAAGGCTTAAGTGTATGTACTAATATTTAATATGTGGAGGTGTATACCACTCCTCCCCAGATAACGTACTCTCCAATTTTAGGTATTTATTACGGGTTGGAAAATTCTCTTGGAAAAAAATTCGGTTTATACCTACTTTCCCGTCTATTCTTTATTACTTCGGAAGTGGCGGTAGTACTTATATATAAGTTCCTAGTGGGGTTGGAAAATGAATTGTAAATAATATTTCTTAGGAAATTCGCCGTCAATACCAGCAGAATTTTGGTATTTCTGAGTTACATTCATTGCTGTACTTATTGATATATTCCCTAAAAATCGATCCACGTTTTTGTATAGGCCCCTATTTGTATACCCTCCACCATAGTATGGAGGGTATATTATTTTTTCATTTCCGACCCTATAAAGTATATATATTCTTGATCAGGGTAAAATTCTAAGACGATCTAGCCATGTCCATTTGTCCGTCTGTTGTAATCACGCTATCTTCTGAAGGAATTGGGTTAGGGTACTGAAATTTTGCATAACTCCCATATAAGGGTACCACCCAATTTTCGGTTTTTCAACCGAATTCGCTGAAATTTGCTACAATAGATTCTTATTGGGTACCAAATTTCCCCACAAAAAAATATAAATATTGGTCCACTTTTTTTGGTAGCCTCCATGGGGAGTTTTGATCATATTTTCCCACCGAATTGCCTGTAATTTAGTATTTTGAGTTCTTAATAGGTACCAAAACTCTCCACCAAAAATTATGGATATAGGTCTGTATTTTGGGGTTCTCGAGCGCGTTTTTTCAACCGAATTCGCTGTAATATGAAATTTTGATGTCGTATATGGTAACAAATCTCCCTAGCAAAACTTATTAATATTCGCCCCCTTTTGGGGTTGTTTTTCCGTTTTTAACGCATCGAAATAATCATTTCCTACCCTATAAAGTATATATATGCTTGATCAGCATAAAATTCTATGACGATATAGCCATGTCCATGTGTCTGTCCGTCTGTCTGTCTAAACGAATTGAGATAGATCGCCAACATTTTGCATAGAGTCGTCTTTTGTCTGCAGGCAGGTCAAATTCGAAGATGGGCTATACTCCATGTTTAGCCATAGCTCGCATATTAAGGTACCCCCAATTTTAGGTTTTTTGAAGTTCTTGAGTGCATTTTTCAACCGAATTCGCTGAATTTTTGGTACTTTGAGTTCTTATTAGGTAGCAAATCTCCCCACCAAAAATTATTAATATAGGTCTATTTTTTCGGATAGCCCCATATAAGGGTACCCCAATTTTGCGCTATTTTGGGGATCTTGAACGCGTTTTTCAACCGAATTCGCTGAAATTTGGTACATTGGGTTCTTATTTAGTGCCAAATATCTACACAAAAAATTGTAAACATCGGTCGACTTTTCTGATAGCACCCATATAAGAGTACCCCCAATTTCCTGTATTTTGAAGTTCTTGAGTGCGTTTTCAACGGAATTCGCTGAAATTTGGTACTTTGAGTTTTTATTGGGTAGCAAATCTCCCCACCAAAAATTATAAACATAGGTCCTTTTTTTCTGATAGCCCCCATATAAGGGTACCCCCCAATATTCGGTATTTTGGGGTTCTTGAGCGCGTTTTTCAACCGAATTTGCTGTAATTTGGTATTTTGTAGTCGTATATGGTAACAAATCTCCCTATCAAAAATTATTAATATTCACCCCATTTTAGAGGTAGTCCCCATATAACCCACTTTTTTATATCAAAATAGTTATGTAATTTGTTCCGCGTTTTGGGTTTGGTTCTAAGACTCTGTTGTAATCATATTACCTGCGGAGGATATCGAGATGAAAAACTAGAACGTAAGGTTCGATAATGAACTATATATTAACTATAACCCGTATTTAGACCTAGCTCCTCTGTGGGAGGAACGAGAAGGAGTGGACCGATATTCCCCATCTTCGAACCTGAACTAAGTTTCGAAGAAATAATAAGATTAGCAAAGTTTGGATGAAATCAAAATTTTCTGAAATAAATTTGGTCCAAAGAAACATGGGGTCTAGAACCATCTTAACCGTGACATTATCCATAAAGCTGAGGGTATATAATTGTCCATTAAAAATTTCTGAATTTTGTTTTATAGTTTACATTGTGGTTTAGATAATCGGTTTGTAGAAATGTCGGTATAGGTCCACTTGTTGGTATTTTCCCTATATTTTCATTTCAAGTACCTATTAGTATATCTATGGTGGAGGGTATCCAAAGTTCGGCCCGGCCGAACTTAACGCTTTTTCACTTGTTTATATTAAAATAGTTATCTGATTTGCTCCGCGTTTTGAGTTTGGTTCTAAGGCTTTGATGTAATCATTCCACCTGCTGAGGATATCGAAATAAAAAAGTAGAACGTAAGGTTCGATAATGAACTAAAGCCCGCATTCAGACCTAGTGTAGAGGTTCCAGAAGGAGTGGATCAATATTCGCCATCTTCGAACTTGAACTAAGTTTTGAAGAAATAATAAGATAATAATTAAAGTGTATACACTCACTATCGATTAGGCTGAGGGTTTTTATTATGGTTTACATAATCCCTTTTTAGAAATGTCGGCATAGATCCACCTTTTGCTATGTTCCCTAGATTTTCATTTCTAGTACCTGTCAATGGTGGAGGATATCTACAGTTCGGCCCGGCCGAACTTAACGCTTTTTCATTTGTTTATACTCATTGAGTCCAAAAACTGCTCAAGTTTCGGAGTAGAGCGTCACCCCGTCATTATTCAAAATATTGGCGCGTTTTTATACCCTTCACCACACTGTGGTATTGGTTGTATCAGCAAAAGGAAACGACATAGAGACATGGTTCCCTTTGAGAATATGCATAGAATCACTTTATGCATGTCCGTCCGTCTGTTGTTAAATTGAAAACAATGTACAGGTCGTATTTATCATCCGATTTGGATGAAATTTGGCACAGGTCATTTATTTGGCCCAAGGACAAACTGAAATTGGGAAAAATCGGTTCAGATTTAGATATAG